ATCACCTTGGGACCAAGAGTGGTGTATGTTGTTGATGTTTGGGTCGCTAATATTGGTGGAGGTTTGGGTGCATTGCTTGGAATGAATTTCATGTTCTCGGCTGGAGTACGGTTGTGCGTCAAGGAAGGGCTAGTTCAACTTCCAGATGAAGAGACAGTTTTGCTTTCAGGAAGGGGACTATCCCACGTCAAGCATGGCATGGCTCACGGAATCCGTCCAAAGTATACTATGTATCTTCAACCTGGAGGGTACTGGATGATCCGACTGCCCGCGTTCCGAAAGTTGATGCGGCCGTCGACCGTATGGGCTGGACGAGGAGATCGTTGGGTCACTCAGGTGTTGTATGCTTGGAAGGTTCCTGCTGCTATTAAGGTAGTCAATATTTCTGACCGCATTGTCACTATCGACTGGCGGACCGAATTTGCCCGTGTTGTCGAGAATGGATTCTTTCCGAGAGCGGGACGTTATGTGCACGTCGGTACTCGAAGATATCAGGAATAGCAGACTCTCATTTATGAGAATACTATATCGGCCAAAGCCCAGGCTCGAGAGTCACAACGTCTAGACGATCTTCAGAAGATGGAACCACCGACCGTCCAAACGCCGAACTACCCGTGGCCGACTAAGATGATGGTTCGTCCATCGCCTGGTTGCGAGAAAGCGAGAGTGCTCAACCTTCAGATAGTCCCAAGTGAAGTGTATGATGAAACACCCGAAGTAGATAAGGTGTTGTCAAGGAGGGCATCGAGAGGGACTACGACAATGCCTGAAGTAAGTGAGATTTCGGAAGTTGAAGATGGAACGACGGACGTCCCAATAGGTGATCCTGAGGAAGTGCCCGATGACCAGGACTCAGACGAAGATGGGGTTTTCGACTCAATTAGTGTCGACGATGGTTTTCCAGAAGTCAACTTGAAGCCATTGATAGATGATCTGCTGGTTGGTTTTGAGGATGTCATGTGGTTTATGAGTTGGGATATGGCGAGTGGCTTTTGGGCGGTCAAGATGTCCGAACGAGCAAAGCTGATATCGGCGTTTGTTTGCCCATTTGGACATTTCCAGTGGACGCGAATGCCATTCGGACTCAAGAATGCGCCATTGATATACCAGTCGGTTATCAACAATTGTCGGTGGGGATTTGTGAGACTGCCTCCGGAAGAAGAAGCAGAAGTCGATCAAGATGTTTTGGATTTTCTAGGTTTGGATCCTGCAGATAATCACGAATTTGAAAGTTGAGGTTCCAAGAGACGAAGTGAAGGGGCTGACGGATTTCATGACTGTTTTCCAAAAGAACATTCCCATGCCTTCACATATTGGCCCAGTGCTAGGACGTAGTCCTTACATGGACAATATTGCTCATGGTGCGAAAACATGGGATCAACTTTGTGAGGATCTGGATACCTTGCTTTATCGTTTACGTTCCTGGAATATATCGGTGAGTTTACCAGAGAGCGAGTTTGGAAAACGATCGATCCTCTATCTGTCACACGAAATTAGTGCAGAGAGTATCCGAGCGACCCCAAAAGTTACAAAGGGTGTTATGGATCTACCGTTCCCAAATCCCACAAAGGTGTGCTATCGTTTCTCGGAAGTCTGAACTACTACCACAAGTTCATCGAGGATTTTCCGGTAGTGACAGCAGTTCTTTATGAACTTTCAGAAGACCAGATACGTCAGGGACGAGATCTCTCACGAGCTCATGAATCTTTCGAACTACTTAAGAGGAAGATCGTTGCGACGCCCATGTTAAGATATCCGGACATCCAAAAACCATTTGTGGTCATTCCGCATGGGAACCGTTGGGCTGCTTGTGCTGTCGTAGGGCAAGAATACGACGGACAGATACAACCTGTTCGGTATACGGGACGCGTTCTGAACGATGCCGAGCTCCGGTATCACATTGCCGAAAAGGAGGTAATTGCTATCCTGAGGGCGCTGAAAGTTTTTCAGACGATCCTGGAAGGCCGACAACTGATCATGTAGTAGGCCTAGTGCTCACTACCTAGCTTACACGCATGCGCACGTGTAGGAGGAAGCGTAGGTTTTCCTAGATAGTATAGAGTATACACAATAGGTGTATACTAAAGACTAGATAGGAATTAGATAGCGTAATTTGAAAACTGTTATTTTTGTTATGCGTTTCTTTCCTAAAGTGTTCCCTTCCTAAACTGATCATCTAATATCTAAGGGACTGTCAGCGAGTGGCTGGCAGTGGTCCGCGTCACTGATTGGTAGAGATATGATGTATTCTACCAATAGGATTCTTCTATATGTAGTCTTGGTGTGCCCACACACCAAGTCAGGAAACCTTGAACTCTAACCGGTTAATTACGGTTAGAGTTTTGTGTAACCCCGTTACACCCGTTAAGATTTGACGTGCTGGTCTCAACACGTCAATCCAAGCTTTGACAAGTTCGTCAAACCTCCGGGAGAATTCTGCGCTCATTTCGAAATGAGCGCTGCCAAGCAAACACCAGTGTCCTCGCCAGTGTCTGCGTCGACCGTAGCGTCGACGCCAGCACCTGTGCTGACGCCCGTTGTCGATACCACATCGGCGCCTGCTTCTCCGCTCGTGTCGGCGGTAACGCCGACACCTCTGGGTGGAACGACAGGGAAGAAATTCTCTGTCGAGAAATACTATGAGCTTCAGGATAAGAAGCTCGAGTCGACGGTGCTGCAAAACTCTCCACCAAGAAAGGAAGCTGTGGTTGTGTGTTATGGCAACTACCCGGGTGGATGGTTCTGAAAGCGAAAGGTTTCCTTTCAGAGAATGTCACAGTGAACGATGCCGAGTACCATGGACTTCTCATAGGACTCGAGTAGTCATCGAAATGAGGTTGCAAGATTTGGTCGCAGTTGGAGATTCTCGAATTGTT